CCCCAATCGGAATATTTTTGCTTGAAGGTTTAAAGACCATCTCAGGGCAGGCTCAACAGGGTTTTCTTAGCTATAATCTTTACAGAAGTAGATAGCCAGAACTTTCTTCTGCAGTATCACTGGGTGGGTTCCAACCACCAACTTTTAAGTTGTTGTGTGCCATTGAGTCGATTCCTACTCATGGTGATCCCTGTTTGTTTAAGACTAAAACTTCTCCATAGAGTTTCCTAGGCTATAATCTTTTTTTTTCTCTTTATTATTTATTGTGATTTGGTTGAAAGTTTACAGAGCAAATTCACTTTCCATACAGCAGTTCACATATACTTTGTCTCATGGCATTGACCACAATTTCCCACAATGGAACAGCTCCCCTCCCACTTCCTTCCTAGTTAACTCTTCCCTGTGTCCTTCCCTCCATGCACTCCTGCCCCCTGAGCTGTCTCCCTGTGCATACACAACCCTTCTATTCTCCCATGATTGTTCTTCCCAAGGAGTATACTACCTAATGTAAATGTTCAACCCATATGCCTGTCTTTTGTTTGGCTGGAAGCTACAGGAGTGGGTTCAATTCCAGACCTGAAGGGCAGCTAGGGGCCATAGTCTCAGTGGTTCCATCAGGCTCTATCAGACCAGCAAACCTGGTCCTTTTTTTTTTCCCCTCAAATGATTTTGAGTTTTGTTCCACATTGTTCTCCCACTCTATCCAGGATCTCCTACATAGATCCCCCTACAAGTGGTTGACAGTAGTAGCCAGGCACCATCTAGTTCTGGTCTGAGTCATATAGGCTAAGGATCGCATGGTGTACCAGTCGCTTGGGCTAATTGTTTCCATGCATCTTTGGTTTTCTTCATTCTTCTTTGTTCTGGACGAGGAGAGACCAATTGTTGCATCTAGGTGGCTGCTTGCATTTAAGATCCCAGTCGCTACTCGCCAAAGTAGGATGTGGAACAATGTTTTTGTGTAGTATGTTATGCCACCTGAGCTTGATGGCCCCTGCAATTACGGTCCTGAGCCCACAGGTCCAACTACTCATTCCCTCTGGGTAGCTGGCTGTGGCCAAGAAGTGACTACAACCTTGTCCCTTGTCAGCTCTACTATGTATCTGGGAATTTTTACAGAACATAGCAATACACTTGTAGAAACATTGTCTGCCAACCCTATACAACATGGTCTTTGGCACACTCCTCCCTGCATAGACATACCTAATAGTTCAGCCTGTCCACCCATCTATCCACCTGTATACCCACATTTGCCTTCACTGACAACGTAGTACTGTATGTGCAAAACAGTTCATCTTTGTTGTCTGCACATCCCATGTACCTCTCTATGTCTTCCTCTTCCTCAATGCCACCATGTTGATCACTAACATTTGGTACACTGCCCTTCTCTTCACCCACATCAATACTTGTCTCTACCTTCTAAAAGTGTTCCCTCCCCTCCCCTCCCACTCCTGGTAACCAACAAAGAAAATTTCCTTCCATAGATAAACCTCTCCTTGACTTTTACAATAATGCACTAATGCAGTATTTGTCCTCCTGTGATTGATTTATTTCACTCAGCATAATGTCCTCCAAGGAGCTCTGGTAGCATAGTGCCAAAGGCACTTGACTGCTAACCAGAAGGCTGGTGGTTCAACCCCCCCAGCCACTCCTCGGAAGGAAG